GAACCGTGAAACAAAATAGCAGCTTTGGACCTCTTTTAAAAACTTGTTCAATAACAAAGAAATGGTTGACTCTTAAAAGGGAGTAACACATTTTACAATTTGCCATTGTTGTCTCCTGAGATAAAAACATCTTGCAGTGAACAAATTGCAACAATGCCCTGGGGCCACAGCACCCTAATGACTAGGCAAACAACTCCTTTGTAGCTCATTCCAAACTCTATAAGGATTCAACTCACTGAACATCACAAGATTCAGTAATCATTAGATCACAGTTGCTTTCCTGATCAAAGCCAAATAAAATGATTTGATATTCCAGCCTTGAAATACCTCATTCAACTAAACTTTTAAAATTTACTTCTAGAACTTGACTTTCTCATCTCCATTTTCACAATGAATAAGATAATCTCTAACCCAGGGATCAGTTAGCTCAGTTGGTTGGATGGATGGTTTGCGATGCAGAATAGTGCCAACAGCGTGGGTTCAATGCCTACATTGGCTGAAGTTACCATGAAGGACTCTCCTTCTCAACTTTTTCCCCTCAGCTCAGGCATGGTGACCCTCAGGTTAACCCAGTCCAATTTGTCTCTCCAACAACAAGAGCAACCCTATGATCCAATAGGGGGAATGGTGACTTTTTTTAAAATTTCCAACTCCACTTTTATAACTGCTGAGCTTCCTTATCTAACTCTCCTAATTTTGTATTGTCTACAAACTGACTTCTGGAATGGGGTGGAGGGGATTTTTCTAGGTCCGCATGTAACCACATTGGCTTGTTTCCGATCCATTGGCATGTCCGTCAATGTCATCTGACTCCAGAATAATGGTCATGACTGTCTCCCAAATTTCTACTCTTGTCTCTGCAGGATAAATGCTCTCTTTGCCAAGGATTTAATTGATCTGAGTCCATTTAACCTGTCTCATACTCCCACTTAATATTGTGTCAATCTTGTCCTTGATTCCACCTTGATCCAGATAATTGCACTAACTACGGTTCACACGTTTAACGTATAACTTTTATATCGTCCATCTCTAACTCTTCACTTTCTGGCATTCCTCTGTGCAACTTTGGGATGAGCTGTTCATTGGTAATTATTATAAACGCACTGACTGGGCTCCTCTATGGTGTGAATGGTCAGATTACAGTGATTATGGGATAGTAACTACAACAAATGGAAGAGTAGCTAGGCTATCATGTCTCATTAGGCTTAAGGAAATTGATCATTTTAATTAATCCAGCATATGTCTAATTGGTTCGTTCATTAATCTGACTTTAGGTCAGAGGTCATACATATCACTAATGTACATTTGTGCAGTCTAGAGAGTCAGTTGATACTTTTTGTGTACAAAACCCAAACACGGTAATTTAACATCTCACCACCACAAGATCAACTATTTTGTTATTGTACCTCAATTATTACACCATCTAGTGACTCTAGAAAATTTAATTGCCAGAAATGTAGAAAGTCATTCATCCATAGCATCCTTTATCCTTTCCAAGTTCTGTTCCACAATTTGATCAATAAGTCTCAGATAGCTTTTCAGTGGAATACTGAGGGAGCATTGAACTGTCAGATGTATGTCAAATATGACTCAACTATCATCTATTGTTATCTATGGAACCTTGTTGTGCAGAGATTGAGATGTTGTAAATGTGACAATTAATGTGTTTAATGCTAATGTGGCATTTGCATCCTAGCGCCCCACCCCCCAACAACTTATTGTTCAGTGCTTTGGTACTGAGGTCAAAAGGGAATTGCTACTCTTTGACCCCACCCAAATGTCACTTCAAGTCACCTCTAGATGAGTCATATACTAGACCAAATGTCACTACCAAAACCTGTCCCTAATAATGACGTCAAATTTTCTGGTCTATAGCTTGGCTCTTGATATATTACTTCACAACATCCAGTTAATCACTTGCTAACCTTTAGGAACCTCACTTGAATTTAGTGAATCACAAAAATATCAATTCAGGCTTCATTAATTTCTGCCCCATCTCATGAGTTCAAACTGGTTGAACAAGCTGCTTTTTTCTATTTAATCTTGCTTATTTTATAGCGGCTTAAAAAAAATTCATGGGCTGTTGCCTATCCCTAACTGAACTTGTGAAGGTGGTGGCGAGCTACCTTCTCGAACTGACGTCCTTCTGGTATCTATAGTGGCTTGATACAATTGGGTGACTTGCTGGTCCATTTCAGAGGGAAGTTAAGATTAAATGTGGGGTCACATGAGCCAGACAAGATAAGCATAGCAGATTTCCTTCCATAAAGGATAGCAGTGAACCAGATGGATTTTTAAGACAACGTATATGATCATCATCACCAAACCTTGCTCATAGCTCTAGATTTATTCATCAAATTCAAATTTCACCAGCTGTCATTGTGGCATCTGAACCCATGCTCTCAGACCATTAGCCTAGGCCATTGGATTACTAGTCTGGTGTCACAGTCTCCCCTACTACCATCCTGCCAATTTGGATTAATTATATTCATTGGCATCTGAGGTTAAAGGTTACATGTTCAAATCTCCCACCTGCTCAAAGCATGTAACGTAGACCGACCATTCAGCGCAGTATTCAGGATATTCTGCATTGTTGACACTGCTTTTCCAACGACACATTAATCTAAAACTCTTGTTAGCTCCAGGTGAATGCATTCAACCCTCAATCAGTATTGCCTGAACCACATTTATAGTTTAGGGGACCCTGCCGTCTGTAGTTTGGCTCCAGATCTATGTGCCTGTGTAACAGTAGCAAGTACACTTTGGAAGTAATTTATTGATTGCAAAAACCTCCTTTAAAAAAAATGTAGGTTTAGTTATTCTTTTCTGAAACTGAGAAAGGAGACATCTGTCCCTCCACTACTGGAGTAAGAAATAAAGCTAAGGGCTGATGATTCTTTGCGGAATGAATTTTTTTTTAAATCAGGGACTCGCTGCCTCAGAGCACATTGTAATGGATTCAAACAACAAGAAGGAGGAATGTGACATACTTGGAAAATTAAAAGTTGCAGAGCTTTGGGAAAAGAGTTCGAGTGTGGAACTAATTGGATAACTCTTTCAAAGAGTTACAAAGGACAGAATTGTCTCTTGTGCTGTATTATTCCATAATTTGTAACTCACTGATCATCCCTGAATTTTAAAAAAACTAAAACGAAGACTCACAAGATTATTCTTCAGGGATTCAAATCTAAACAGTTGGAGTGCACAAATGCAGTATGATGTTAAGTAGAAATTACAAACTAGGTTCATATTCCCTGCAATGTGAAAGATTGATGGATGGCTTGGTATAATTTTTTTTAAAGTTATTTTTAAATAAAGGAATTAATGGGCTGGACAGAGGGAAACATTTACCGGTGGGGTGGAGGTCTAGAACAGAGGGACATAATATTAAAATCAGAGACAGACCATTTAAAAGAGAAGTTAGGAAACTTTTCTTCACACAAAGAATGATGGAAGTGTGAAACACTCACCAATACAGTAGATGCTAGCTTAATCAGCCATAAAATCTGAGGTAGATTTGTGCTGGACAGGTATACACAAGGAATTGCAGGATTCTTGTGGCGCAGTGATACTGTCCCTATCTCTGAGCCAGGTGGCCTTCTTCAAGTCACACCTGCTGCGCAGGTATTTAATAACATCTCTGAATAGGTTGATTAGATAAAAATATTACAAATGCTGCTGTAAAAACCCACAGTGAGTCTTTTGCTATTGGATAAAAGAGAAAGAATAAAAGGAATCACAGGATTCATGTGGTGCAGTGGTAGTGCCTCTGCCTCTGGTCCAGGGGGGACTGGGTTCAACTCTCACCTGCTCCAGAGGTGTGTAATAACATCTATGAACAGGTTGATTGGATAATAACTATAAAAGAAAATGGAGGCAGGCTGTCGGAACAGGCTCTCAGGAATTAATAGCTTAGACATGCTCCCATTTTCCTATTAGCAGTAGTAGCCTTTTTTTCCCCTTTATTCATTGATGGGATGAGGGTGTCACTAGCTAGGCAGCATTTATTGCCCATCCCTAATTGCCCATTGCTGTGGGTCTGGAGTCACATGTAGGCCAGACCAGGCAAGGATGGCAGTTTCCTTCCCTAAAGGAGATTAGTGAACCAGATGGGTTTTTCCAACAATTGGCAATGGATTCACGGTCATCATTAGATTCTTAATTCCAGATATTTATTGAATTCAAATTCCACCATCTGCCATGGTGGGATTCGAACCGGAGTCCCCAGAATGTTAGCTGGGTCTCTGGATTAACAGTCCATCGCCTCCCCATAACCTCCCTGTAAATATACCACCTAAACCAGGAAGTATCACGGCTAGGTCCCGCACATGAAGCGGGTGTAATGACAAAGGGCCTCTGTTGCAATTGACTTCATTGAACACATAGGGAAAGGGTGACCGTGTGAAACCAGACTGGCTTCCCACTCCTGTTGCTGCGCCGCTGCCTAATAAATAAATAAAAGCTGTTAATGCTTGTGTATGTTAGACATCTTGTGGGAATCAGCTTCACAGCACCGCTTAATTTCGATTAATCAGGTATTTGTAAACTGGAATAAAAAGGTCGATGGGGTTTAAACTGGGAACACACTGTTGATGAGCCCGCATTGAAACATTTACAGACATACATGACGAGGGGCCATATTATGATGTCAAGACTTTTACAAAGTACCTAAACGTTTCTAAATTAATTGTTTCATTAGCTGGCTTATAGGAGTTCAAACCTTGGAGAATTTGCAGCCAGATTCTCTGCAGTTGCTAATTTTCATCTGAGGGTCATAAGTAGCTTCGTACCACGGACTGGTTGGTCACAGTTAGTTAGTCTAAATATTATTATTATTGTAGGTTAAAGAGCGGAGATTTTAGTTTGACACTCAGGACGGGACGGAGAAACCAGGGGAGAATTCATCAAGAGAAGGAAACTAAACCCTCAACCAGAACGAGACAGATTTAAAACAGAAACAATCTTGGCCAAAGAGACGGGAAAAAAAAAAGTAAACTCACCTCAGAGAAGAATTTAGTTTTTTAAAAAAAAAAGAAAGTCACTTTGATTCGATTCTCCCCCTCTGACTGTGAACGCAGGAAAATGCCTAGAAATGTCGTGTAGTGCAGGCGGATCCCACAGACAAAAGTGCAAGGAGGAAGCCGGAAGAGAGCAATTGGAAAACAGATTCTGCGATTGGCTGGGGTGGATTCCCCACTACTCATGCATTCGGAATGTGTCTATAAAACTCAAAAAGGAGTCTTCGAACCTCGATCAGAGTGGGTTACGGAAAGAGGGGAGCATTTAAAACTTGTAAGTCAGTTACAGAGGTGCGTACTTCCCTCTCTGAACCATATGCAAAAAGAACTCTCTCTCCTTGCCTCAACAACGAGAGCTTTTTCATACTGGAATCGCCGGGGTCTCACGTTTCAGCTACTTCCCTGGAGATCCCATCACCTAACCTCACCATGTCAGGCAACCACTTTACCCTAATTCGCCAGATTTTTAATTCTCATAAACAAGAGTTGAAAACAAGGTAGGATAAACATGCCTTTTTTGGAAAACAAACATTTAGTTTGTCTCCCCAGGTTGTTTTTTTTAATTTAAAACTAATTTTCTATAAACAGGATGTGCCGCCAATTAACAAAAATAACTGAGGATGCTGGAAATCAGATTCCAGCGTGGACCCCGAAATGTTGACCCTGCTTTCTCTCCACAGATGCTGCCAAGCCTGCTGAGTTTTTCCAGCTATTTCTGTTTTGTTTTATGTCATCATTTGTTGCTCACTATCTCTATTGCCCTTGAACAAAAGAAATAGGAGCTGGAGTGGGTCAGTTTGGCTTCTCAGGTTTGCCCCACCGTTCAGTAAGATAATGGGGTATTTGATCATGCCCCAAGTTCATACATTCTCCCCCTTTTGAATTCCTTTGAGATGTAAAATCTGCTTAGCTCAGCCTAAAATATATTCAATAGCTCAGCCACTTTCCTCTTCGCCCCCCCTGCTTGTTGGGTAGAGAATTTCAAGGATTAATGACCCTTTCAGGGAAGAAATTCCTCCTCCTCTTAAATGGAAGAGAGCCCTTATTTTGAAATTTAGATTTTCCGTTTGAGATGAAACATCCTCCCACCACTGACTATTTTGAGTCCCTAGGTCTCAAACAGATTCACTCATTCTTCTAGGTTCTAACCTATATCAGTGTATCCTGCTCAATGTTTCATCATTTAACATCCCTTCATCCCAGTTATCAACCTGCAAACCCCTCAACTTTCTTTCATTGCTCAAAAAATACTTTATTCATAAGAAAATTTTTACCTATATTCACAGATACCAAAGCAGTTCTGTACAGTCTTTGCGTATCAGGAAAAACAAACATTGGAATTTGACATTCCCTGCAGTTGCAAAAATCAAAGGCATTTCTTACTATGTAAGTCATTGTTCACATACATTGAAGCAACTAGACAATCTGGTAACTGAACAGACCCTCATTATATTTTGGCAAAAATACCTTAGACATTGGCCTTTCCCCACTGTGCCTTGGGGGCTGCTATCCCGAGCTTTGGTGCATCCTTGGAATTTGGAATGTGCCAATCTGCAACACTCAGTCGAGTTATTCCAGTCCAAAGAGTTGACCAACATGTTTTGGGCAGACCAAAGAGAATCTTTCACCAAGTTGATGGTTCTCCAGGCACCGTTGATGTTTGTTTCAGTGTGCACTCCAGGGAACAACCTATGGAGCACAGAGTCCTGCATCACAGAACTGCTAAAAGATAATCCTCGACAAAAACCATTGCATCTCTCTTCAGAGATAGTAGGAACTGCAGATGCTGGAGAATCCGAGACAACCAGGTGCAGGGCTGGATGAACACAGCAGGCCAAGCAGCATCATAGGAGCAGAGAGGCTGACGTTTCGGGCCTAGACCCTTCATCAGAAAAGGGGGAGGGGAAGGGGGTTTTGAAATAAATAGGGAGAGAGTGGGAGGCGGATAGAAGAGGGATAGAGGAGAGGATAGGTGGAGAGGAAACAAACAGGTCGAAGAGGCGGGGATGGGGCCAGGAAAGGTGAGTGTAGGTAGGGAGTTAGGAAGGGGATAGGTCAGTCCAGGGAGGACGGACAGGTCAAGGGGGCGGGATGAGGTTGGTCGGTAGGAGATGGAGGTGCGGCTTGAGGTGGGAGGAGGGGATAGGTGGGAGGAAGAACAGGTTAGGGAGGCAGGGACGAGCTGGACTGGTTTTGGGATGCGGTAGGGGGAGGGGAGATTTTGAAACTTGTGAAATCCACATTGATACCATTGGGCTGCAGGGTTCCCAAGCGGAATATGAGTTGCTGTTCCTGCAACCTTCGGGTGGCATCGTTGTGGCACTGCAGGAGGCCCAGGATGGACATGTCGTCTGAGGAATGGGAGGGGGAGTTGAAATGGTTCGCGACTGGGAGGTGCAGTTGTTTGTTGCGAACCGAGCGTAGGTGTTCTGCAAAGCGGTCCCCGAGTCTCCGCTTGGTTTCCCCGATGTAGAGGAAGCCACACCGGGTACAGCGGATGCAGTATACCACATTGGCAGATGTGCAGGTGAACATCTGCTTGATGTGGAAAGTCTTCAT